ATAATTCAGAAAAAGTAGGTGCATGAAACAGAAGACGCGCCAATACCTTGGTTAAGTCCCAAACACTTGTTAAATAAAATTCGACTCTTGATAAGAGATTGTTAGTTTAGTTAAGTCCTAGACATTGAAGCAATCAAACGTAATCGAGAATCATTGTTTATTGAAATGTTGAACTGCAATTAATGAAATTTTGTCAAACTAGAGACGTGAGAATAGTAAAAAAAAAAACCTTAGTCATACACTGAAAAATAGTGAAAATAATAAGTTTGGGGGTGTGTGAATCTTACGAATGATGAAAGAACATATTTGACAATTGAAGGTCGAGAATTGAAACAATTTATGAATTCATAATGCTATATTTAATTCTTCACACACACACACACATCGATTTTACATTGAAAAATTGGATTTTAATTTTTATATTGTGATTTTGAAGTTATGCATAGATTTATTATTATGATTTCAATTCTGAGATAAAAAGTCAGGTTAACTAGCTAAATCTTGTTGCTTTACTTGATTGACTGGCCATCAATTAGATAATTAGCATTGTTTGTTTGTGTATTTGTTAAGTTTTAATTTTGTTTGAGGACAAATAAAGATTCAAGTTTGAGGTGTGATAAGTGTAGTTTATACATTTATTTGTGATCTTAAATCATGATATTTTATTGTCTTTTGAATTAAATTCTACATAATCTATGTTATATTGTGTTTTGTAGGTAAAACTTTGTGCTTAATTAAGAATTGGAGAAAAGAATGCAAAAGTGACGAAAAAATGGCAAAATTCAAAGATGAAACCATAGAGAGAAATATTACATTAAATGAGCTTCAATAGACTTGTATTGAAAAATTTAATTTGAGACCCAAATTAAATTGAACTATATATATATATATATATTAGAAGATACATAAAGGGAGATACAGAGAGACAGACGTGAGAGACAGGAAAAAGGGGAAAAGAAAACAGCGGTTGGAAAAAGGGAGAAAAAGAAAGGAAAAAGGAAAAGAGAAAGAAAAGAGAAAGAAAGAAGAAAAGAAGAGAAAAGAAAGAAGAGAAAGTCAAAGCAGAAAAACGAAAGGATAGAGAGTGAAGAAAAAAAGAAAAGAAAAAGAAAGAAAACTGTAAATACCAGAAATTTTCGCGTTGCACATTTTTATTTTTACAATATGAATAACTAATTTTTATGTTAGGGAAAATAATTTAGTTGACTTGTAATCCTTTACTTTTTTATCCAAGATTTCTGTGATTTATATATTTATGTGTTGGTTTTATTATGAGTTTAATATATTAAATTACTTGATCAATAATTTGATGATTATCTAAGTATCTAACAAATCGAGAGGTGAGTTTGAGATTTAAATCATATAATAAAATCCAGTAAATTAGTATAACGTGTAGAGATACCTATACTAATTATTGCGATCATAAAATGAATTCTTGAACCAGTGTTTCGTTTAACTAAAGTTGATTCACATAGAGATATTGAATTAAATTATTTAAATAGGTTCTGTGAGAATTCGAGAGGAATAAATTGAATACAATAGAAGAATTCGATCGAACACTACATTAGGTTATAAATCTTGAATTAAGAATAAATATGATCAATAGATGAAGTTGCTATTCTCTAATATTTATCACATATTTGTTTCTTCAATTATACATTGTTTGCAATCATTTTATATTTTCAATTAGTCAAAAATAGTTAAGAAAAAATAAACATAATCATCATAAATATTTACTTACTTTTGTCAAATAGGAGTTAAGAAAAATTAGATTAAGTCTGAAAGTAAAGTCTTCGTGGGAACGATATCTGGACTTAAAGGTCGACTATACTGCTTGTTACGATACCGTACACTTGCGATATAAAAAATGCAACATTAGACACTTTTGAGTTTTAAGTTATATAGCCCTTAGGCCAAGCTACATATTTCAATTTACTTTGATGTATGCTCTATCGTCTTTATTTCTATACTTTTGTTACTTTCAATAGGTTAAATCAAAACCTTTCGGCACTAAAAAACATCAACAACAGTAAGCTATGCAAAGTGAATTTTCCTTGTGGCCAACAAACCTCTGAGCAAGGCCTTTATCTTTATGTACACTTTTTTACGGTATGCTAGCCAATAATTGGCCGTCGATCTCCCTCTCACAGGCTGAGGTCGATCGACCAAACTGATTGTGGTCAATTAGTCGACCACATGCTGCTATGGTCCTTTCGAAGGAAGAGTTGATATATGTGTAAAAGGTAAAATATAGAAGTATGGATTTCGGCAAAAAAAGTCTTTTAACTATAGTTGACCCCTTTTGGGGTATCGATTAGCCTTCAGATTTCGTTCACGTGCTTAACGGGTTCTGCTCACGTGCGAGGATGTTTTTGAGAGCCTTAAGATACAAGTTCTATCAAATCGGGCATCTAATTGTCTTTCAGTTATTGAATGGGCTAGATTGTGTAAATAACTATCCGTCTTCGCACATGCTGTGGTTGGGTCGATCGACCCCTCATGGCGGGGTCGGTAGACGGTCTTCAAGTAGAGACCTTTGCTGAGTTCATGCTGGTTAATACTCGGGAAAAATTCATAAATAAGGTGTTTAGTTTACACCAATTCAAAAATCATGTTTATAGTTTGAAAATTTAAAAATCAGATTTTTTTTTAAAAAAAAATTCTAATATAATATAATATAACAAAATAAACCCACCCCACATGCACCACCCCTACTTCTCCGGGGATTATTCCGGCGACCACTCTTCTCCGGCGACCATTCTGACGACTGCTCCGATTCCGGCGACTATTCTGGCAGTCATTCCGGTCACATATTTACAATTTATGATCATAGTTCAAAAATTTTATAGGTCACATTTAATTCGTTGGTCACAGATCTCAAAATTAGTTGGTCACAGATCAAAATTTATAGGTCACACAGTCACAGATTTCCAAATTAATTGGTCACATATTATATAATTTTTAGGTCACATATAAAAAAATGGTTAATTTCATTGGTCACATATTTTCAAATTTATTGGTCATAGATTATTTTTCAGTCACATATTGTCAAATTTTTAGGTCACAGTTAAATACTTGGTCACAGATAACCAAATACTTGGTCACATACCATTGGCACTACCACTTCAGCTACTTTTGACCACCCTCACCCCACAGCCGCCATCACCACCACGGCCACCAACATCACCGCCGTCGACCAACACCGCAAACATCACCACCACCTCAATACCGCAGCCAACATCCCAACCACCACCATCCAACTACAAACAATGTCACAACTTGCAAACCACTACCAATTACCCTAAAAAACTCCAGATTTTCACCATCAGCACAACACCACCACCACCACCTTACTGCCACACCCAAAACATCCTACCTCAGATCTGAGGGGAGAAACACACGTCACCGCCGCTGCAACGATGATTTTAGCTCTCAAAGCAGCGCAGAGTCATCCCAAACATATCGGATGGAAGAACCACTACATCCACGTCGCTGCCGTCCCCCAAAACAACATCCATATTGCCGTCACTACAACCAGTCACCACACCATCGAGTCACAGTCCACCTTGCTGCAATACAATCGACACCCTCACAAACGAAAAAAAACAAACAAACAAAATACACCCACCGCCTCATGCACAAAACACCCACTCGGCATCATCAAATATCAAATCTCGATTCCGACCACTCTACCACACCAATCGACAGCCACACTCAACCAACAACCCCAAACTCGTCGCCCGACAGTGACCCAAAAATTTCACCGGCTACATCTAATCGACGACCCATGAAATTGACTCAACTCAACGGCAGCACCTAACTCGCCAGGTCTTTGCAGTACCCAAATGAGACGAACAGTACCTAGAGGGAGATGACGAACAGACGACGCCGACACCAGCCTCCCTATTTGGGCCTCAGGTCGCGACGCTGTTTGTTCGTGCGGCAGCGTCAGCATCACGACAACGCAGCAGCATCGCAACGATGCTTCACCCTGCAGCGTCGCGACACCGTTCGCGCAGTAGCATCGACAATAGCGTCACGACGCTGCTGCAGTGGGAGGGGGAGGGAGAAGGGCAGTGGAAGGGGGAGGGAAAAGGAAGGAGAAGCTGGCGGTGGCGGTGGCAATAGAGGTGGTGGGTGAGAGAGTGGAGAGATGAATAGATTGAGAGGAAATAGAGAGAAATGAATTAGGTTAGGGTTTGAATAGATTAAATGTTTAATATTTAAAATAAAATACTTGATTTTTGAATAAATAAATTCTAGATCTGATTTTTAAAAACCAATCTTTAAACACCTGATTTTTTATAATTTCCCTTAATACTCCCTCAGAAGGCCTTCAGTTAATGTGCTAAGCCCGTGTTTGGTTTGGATTAAAATCCAATTAAAATTTCAAATCAAAGTTAACAATTAATTTTAACCACATATTTAATTGAACTCACAACTTTTCAATCACATGTTTTATTGACTTTTATCAAAATTTACTAAAAATTTGATTTTAATTTCTACCAAACAGGGGCTAAATATAAATGGTCATCTTAGCGCACGATTTAGGGTTTAGATTGATTTACTCTTATACCGTTTATCAATAAACGAAAGAGAAACTATGACTGAACGATGCACATGTTTATGCAGATTTTTAATATAAGTTATATTCAAGTATACATGGGAAATTAACAAGAAAAAGACAGACGGAAAATGAAGTGACACTGCGATAGTCCCAGGATGATAGCACTCTGTCACGTGAACCAACACAGCAAAAACAAAAGTGAAAAGGACTTGTACGAATATTCACAAAAAAAAAAAAATATTACATATTTATTCATCTTCAACAAGTTCCCTGAAAATTTCAAAAATGTTTGTAGCAAGACTTGATTCCATGATCTTTATCTACTTTGATTAACGATGATTTCACTCTTTTAAAAGAAGAAATTTGCTAACCACTGATGCAAGATCAACAAATATAAAGCATTATAATTAAAGATGAACTGAAAAATGAGTACCTTCTCCCGTAGACATCTGATATGAAGCCCCAGAAATATGCTCCGACAAGCATTCCACCAAAAACTGCGGTTGTTAGAAGGCTCTCTTCTGTAGGAGAAAGTGTCCATTCAGATTTAACTGTTGGACCTATGAAGGAGATCAACGTCATTTCCATCGCGTCTGCAACCCAACCAAGCCCAGCAAAAACCAGGACAAGACACTGGAAAGTCCCGAACCCCACAGTAGAAAGTGCTTCATCCAGTGTGTATCCAATGCTCTGATCTCCCATATTAACTTATTAAGAATCAACTACAAAGAAACAGACAACAATCGATTATGCACAATTTTATCGTCGCCCTTATCAGATATAGATCATACTTGTGCACTTAAAAGAGCCAACTGCACCCCCATTGTACTCACTATATATAGCCTGGGCCTGTTTAAACATAATATATATGTTATTGATTGAAAACTTTGATACGCACAAACTCTTTCAAATAGATCGTGGCGACCAAAAGAAATTTAGAGATCACAAGTGTAATCACTAAATGCATGTTTGGTACACAGTAGTAGACGTCTGGATAATATTAGAGAAGATTTCAGTTTTTTTTTTTAACTGTACTATTCAATCCGCTCTACCATATATGCCATGAGTCTTTCACGTTAATCTCAATAAACTTATCACCGTAATCCAAAAATTATTTATCGAATTCCAAACTCAGAACCACATCAGAAGAAAATATCCAAACATTCTTCCCCCATTTTCTTTGAATGAAAAGAATTACCTCAATGCTCAGGTTGAATCTGTTTCAATCTCAGCTTGATGCTACTCCATACGACTGGTAACGTAAAGAACAGTTTTATGTTATAACTCAGTACAGTAGTGCAGCAAATTGCCAGTAGAAAATAAAACAAGAACGTGGATTCCTCCTTTTGAATATGGAATCTCTCATACTTATTTTAGCTGAAGTTACTGCATATATGACTGGCTCTAATTCTAAGGAGGATAACAAATAAGGACACATTTGTCTAAGCCTAAAAAAGCTAAAGTTACTTGAGAAAAATTTGAAGTTTCTTAATCTTTAAGTAACATTTCTTTACAAACATGTTTGGATTTTATGTAAGAGTAACTTTGCTCAGGCTGTAATTGAAATAAATGTAAATCAAGAGCCAATTTCACTACCAAAATTCAAGAAAAGTCCAGTGTGCAATTGGGATATGAGATCGTATGAAAAAGTTTGACAGAACTCACTCTTTGTAACACATGAAGCCAGTTTATTTTTCATGGAACTTGGAAATGAGATTCCATATTCCACCAAAAGTCATGTTTGATTGTGAAAATTTTGTTGGCAATTCCTTTTCCACAAAATGCCCCCACACGGTTCCAATTCCATGCTTTTGAGGAAAATCAATTCCCACCACTCAGGCTACTTTTTTTTTTTTGTGTGCAATGGAAACAAATTATATCTCAAATTGTAACAAATTATATTTCTTCAATGGACAATTTTCATTTAAAATAAAGCCAAACGAACACTAAAAGATCCAAAATTTCAATATTTTTCACGTGAAAAATTATGCTAATCAAACATAATTAATTAACAATTCTCAAAAAAATAATTATAGGAAATTATATTATTTAAAATTCATTTTCTTTTCACTCAAATTCCACTCTTACAATCAATCCGACTCGAAATAAACTTTGAGCGTTGAAAAGAGAGAAAGTATGTCTCCATCATCTGCGCAGAGGAAATTGCCCGACAATGGCATAATTTAATAATAATAATAATAAAAGATCTGTCATAAGTAAGCAAAGTTTGGCCCCATATGAATTTGTTACATAAAATATTCCAAGCTTGGCCCATAAGAATTTGCCACTTCAAAAATAAGCCAATTTTGGCCCACATAAGAATTAACTGCACTTCTTTGTGGAACTAAAAAGTATTGGAGCAGGTCAGCCAACCAACAGATAGTGACAATTTGATGCTTACACACTGATTGGTTATTACCAGAAAAAAAGTGATTACACAGTGAATTAATATATTTGATGACAGTGCTATTCGTCTTTATAATTTAATGGAAAATTGCACTATTCATTCCCTACTTATGACTCTTATTGCAATTTGGTCAATATGTTTTATTTGCATTGTCATCTCAGGTCTTTCAATCTTATAGGTTCCGTGGTGTAATTTTAGTGCACTCGTATTTCTAACATTTTAATTAATTTTTTAACGTTGATGTTTGTTGATTTTTCACGTGGTTTGATCCTCTAGTACAGTGCGAGGAGTTTAGTACCATAATCCTTGATTTAATAAAGAAGTTGGATAGGATTCAAATATTCGAATATTTGTCACTGCCCTCAAAATCATTGCAATGAAGTGCCTTGTACACAATGCGCTATCACGCATTTTGTGCACTGCTGCATTTGTACCATTTAGTCTTTCCACACAACATCCCCATTTAGGCATCACGACTTACGGCGATATGATATTTGAATGATACCAGAGCTAACCCAACAAGACCACTCTGCAACAAAACTTACTAAATGCGAATAATATCGTCTCATCAAGTGTTATGAACCAAAAAGATAAAAACTGTAGCTTGTAGGCATTCTGAAGGAATGATGAAAATATTCTGTAAAATGGCTTGCATTCATTTACTGATGTACGCACAAAATCCAGTGTTAGAAAAGTGTATCATCCAGTGTGTATCCAAGGCTCTGATTAGCCATCTTAAGAATAAAGGACAAAGAAACCATAGTAAAATAGTTTCTTTTAGTACTGTACCAAATTTTAAGATCAAGATAACCTTCATAATCATATTGTTAAGGTATGTCTTATTGCAAAAGCTATAAGCAGTCATAGGAAAGTATTTGTAAGCAGTTGTTTCAGAAACATAAATAAATAACCCCCCCCCCCCCCCCCCCCCCCCTCAAAAAGATAAAAACTGTAGCTTGTGGGCATTCTGAAGGAATGATGAAAATATTCTGTAAAATGGCTTGCATTCATTTAATGACGTACACACAAAATCCAGTGTTAGAAAAGTGTATCATCCAGTGTGTATCCAAGGCTCTGATTAGCCATCTTAAGAATCAAGGACAAAGAAACCATAGTGAAATAGTTTCTTTTAGTACTGTACCAAATTTTAAGATCAAGATAACCTTCATAATCATATTGTTAAGGTATGTCTTATTGCAAAAGCTATAAGCAGTCATAGAAAAGTATTTGTAAGCAGTTGTTTAATAACCCCCCACCCCCCCCCCCCCCCNCATGTATCTATAGGGAAATTTGCACCATGAGTCTCCTCATAACAAGTTGGCCTCCAATTGTTAAGAAAAAAATAATTTAGTCTTGTTTGATAGGGGATTAAAATCTAAATTTTAATTTAAGTCAAAGTCAATAATTAATTTTATTCACTTAATGGGCCGGTGCTATTATTTACATTTCCATTGTTTCTTACCCTTTACTATTGTTGCTTAAGTGACACTCACTTATTGGTAGCATTAGCATGACCCGGATTGTGTGCTTGTTTGGAACCATTTGTGGCCTTTAGATTTAATCCACGGTTGGGATTAATTCTTGGCTTGATATTTTACTTGGGCCTTGGCTATTGTGAGAACTCTTCCTCCTTCTTCGAAGCCACTCCTGTTTTCTCTCTGTACATCTCGTTCTTCTTCCTCCTCTGGTGTACCCTAAAATTGACATGGTTAGCCTGTTGGTGGGAGATATACCTGTGTAGACTTAGGTCTGAAATAGTGGCTAAGTGTTGGTTTGCTCTCGAGGGCTTGGGTCAGATTTTAGGGTTGTTCTTGGCTGCTATGGTAGATCCCTTGGATCGATGACATTAGTCAAGTTGTTGAGTGTTCTTGGCTGGTTCTAATCTCTCTCTGGATGGTGAATTGCATGGCGTGGAAGGCTGTTCCCGAGCCTAATCATTTCAGCCGAAAATAGGAGAAAGAACTGGGTATCTTGGCCGGTAAAGGAAAGTAGCGTTCTGTCTTGTCTCTATCTCGTTTATGCTCTGTTTTTTGTTTCTATGTATTCCTATGATTTCTGTATTGTATATGTTAATGTATGTTGATTCTATGATTTCTGAACTTTGTCGATTAGGTTATGCAAATGTTGGATTACAATGTTGTATACTCTGTAAATGCTAAAAAGCTAATTTGGAGCCTATTAGAACTCTGTTAGTATTGATTTGGTGATTACATTATGCTGTAAATTCCTAACATCTGGTATCAGAGCCTTGCATTAGGTCTAGGGCTTGTTTATCCTTCATAAAATCGGGCATGTTCAATATGCTATTCGAATTTGCTGTTTGGGTAAGTGGTTTATCTGTATATACCTTTTGAGGTTTAAAACAGAAACTATCACTGCTTGTTTGGCATTCTAGTTTCCTAATTCGATACTGATTCCTGTGATTTTGTGTTGTGCATATTGTTGACTGGATTGGGTGATTTTGGAGACTTTGGCTGGCTCACCTAACCGAGGAACTGGTGGTATTGTTACTGTTTTTCAATAATGGTTTGGTAAGATTATTCTAAACTCTCTGATATCTTAGGTTTGGCACACTTACCAATTTATGCATGATTGCTTGGTTGCCTATTTGTGAACTTTGTTGATTGAATTCTTATGATTAATTTGTAAGCAGAAAGACATGCGTATCTACATTATATGCCTGTGCATTGCTTAAGTTTGGATCACATCTGCACACACATCACATTGAGGTTTTGTGATTGGATTGTTTCATTACTGTGCTTCATTTTTTAAACATTGATTTTAACTCAGCATTCATACTTTGTATTGAATCTGGAAAATATTTTTTCAGAACCTTTTCTGTTGTGTCCATGAGTACAGACCATTCTTTTAAAGAATCCGGAATGGGTTCAAGGGTCGAATTATTGCAATTCGATGGAAATGGGGACTACTCAATTTGAAAACAGAAAATGAGAGCCATTTTGGTTCAACAGAGAGTTGCTAAAACTCTAGATGATCCTTCTACTTTTTCCAGCGAGTTAAAAGCTAAACCTGTTGAAATTAAAAAAATGAATGAAATTGCATATAGTTCTATAATTTTGCACTTATCTGATAACATTGTTAGACAAGTAGACATTGCTAAAGATGCTAGGATTTTGTAGACTGCTTTAGATGCCTTATTCTTGACTAAGACTTTGCCTAACAAGATATTTCTGTTAGAAAAGCTGTTTAGTTTTAAGATGGACCCGGAGAAGGATATAGAAGGAAATTTGAGCTATTATAGTATAATTGTTAAGAGTTTGGCTCATAATAATAA